AGTTAAAGTTTGTCGGGAGAATTGCTAACTCGGCAACTAGAAGAGCTGAAGGGCTGAAATTTCAAAGGTGTATTCTCCGTCCACATACAACTTAAAAATTTCAAATTCCCTATAGTACGCGTGGTAGACATCTAGTAGACTGTGAAATTTTTGGCGAAAAAATTTCTAACTCGAGAACCAGGAAAGCTAGAAAGCTTGTCCAAGCACAGTTTAAATATTTCAGTCTCTGTCTCCAAGTATGCACAGTTCTCACATACGGACAGTTAAAGTTTTGGCTGGAAAATTGTCCACTGAACGACTAGATCGTTTTCTAAGAACAACCGTTAAACGGAAATTGTTCATTTCTCTTGTGTAAAATTTACGATGATTTACGCTAATTAGCCCAAATATCAGGTGTAAAATAACGACTATTCGTGCAGTTAACGACCTTAGTACCTCAAATGTGGTGCGAGAACGTATGATCGCACTGGCAAGCCTGGTACATTCCAATTTGGGTTTCCCTTCACCCCCACCCCGTCCTTTTCATGAAAGCGGCACGGATGAAGGATTTTCACTTTGGTCAGTCGGTGACTCTGAAATGAGGCTAATACGTACGCGGACATTTTGTTGGTCAGAGCGCCTGTTTCATTTTTGTCGTACCATGCCATCTCCTGTCTCAGCAGAGCAGCAAAATAGCGTTTCCTAATTTCATGCGCCTGACGCTCACATAGCGTAAACAAACAGCTCATCTGAAATTACCAGAAAAATAATCCAGAACGATGGTACAGAAATGTTCTTGCATTCTGCGATGCTCCCTGTTATTAATCCGGCCGGAGACGCCAAAACGTGAAGTGCTATCGAATTTTTGGATTTAATTTCTCAGCACTGGAATTGTGCAAATAAATCTGTTCAAAAAAATATCGCTACCGATACTAATCCGATGAAAAACATCACAACACCGAGTGACGCGTAGAAGTACACGTAAGTGAGGACTGAATCAGTGTATGCTTCCAAATTCAAAGTACCATTCTCGAGATCCGCTTGACCCATTATAAGTGCATCTGTCATTCCCTGAAATTTTCCAATTTTCAATTTTTATACTAATTTTTCAGAGACGCCAGACTGTCCGGAAAAGCCATAGTATGCATTTGTTTAATCTTAGTTTAGTACCCTGAAGAAGACGGAGTTCAGTGGCGCAAT